TATAATGTATATAGCTTTATAGTGCTAATTTAACTTGGTTGTTTCATGAGGAAAATAAATTCCTTAGCAAAGGCTTCTTCTCCTTGGTTTTAAATTTGCTTGCTTCTTCTCTCTGTTTGATAAGGGGGGTTCCAGTCCAAGTGAATATTAAATGTAAAAAAAAAACGCCCATTTCCCTCATCCTTATATTGGGTGACTATAAATTAGGTGTTTAAAGAAGTTTAATTAAGTTTGCTTGCAAAACAGCATAAATACCTTCAAAACCGTTGAAATAATCTGATGGCATTTACAAATCAACTCTCCAGAAAGAAAGGCTCAAAGTGCATGCCTTGGTTCAACTTACCATGGGTGTTTTGGAAGACTTTAAAGATCTTAAATGCCGATAAACAACTTCAGCTGTAACATAAAGCAGGTATATTCTGTAATCAAAAAGCCATTTCACCACAAGTAGTAAAACAATATCTTAAAAAATTATAGGGAAGAAGTGAAGTCATGAATAATTCACCATTTCCTTCAAGTTAGCCCTTTCACTGCCAAGATCTCAATAGTAATTCTCCTGACCATCTGCCAGAAAATTTCTTACAATGTTGGATTGGAGAATTTGGTATTGGATCACCTATATATCTCCTAATTGATATTTTTCTTTATTCTCATCACTTGCCTGCTTGATATTTTATTGATATTATTGTTAATGTATATCATTATACATTCTAAAATCCAAATTAGCCATTAGCAAATGACTATCTTCTGCTATCTTAGAAATTTGAAGGTGAGCCTTTACAAATACAGTTTCTTTGTTATGTTTTCATTTTATTGTTAATAATATCAATTTATCAATATTAATTTTTATTGACAAAATTATAAAAATAATAAAAAATCAAAATAATATCAGTGAAGAGGATCACTTAAAATGCCTTTCAACATTTCAACCAATATCTAAAGTTTGGGAAAACAAAGAGACCTAAAGCTTGGAGAGGTGCTTCCTTAACCTATCTCCCATAACATTGCAATTTCTTAACCTTATTCAACTTTACCCACTTAATTTCTTTTTCTCAATGCGTAAGAGTGAAAATGATCAATAGAAAAAAGAAATACCGTGTTTCTTGTCAGGTTTCTGAATNGGCGATTACGAAGCCCGCGCAGTTTCCATTTGTTCATCTCACGCGAGACTCGTTTATCCTTCATGCGATGGCTGTAAGAAACAGTTCTGTGATGTCTGTTCAAACATATCTGTTACCCAGGTAAGTCGAGAGAACCTTTTATCTTTGTATGCAGTGACGTGGCGGATTGTGCGTTGTCTAACAAATTTGTACAATATTAATTTTTGTTTAGTTTGTTTGTGTACATCGCCGTGGATAACTAACAACACCGGCCTTAAGTTGTTAACAGACGCAGAAACACCGATATTTCGCTTCATTGCTTAGATTTCTAAATTTTGATTTCGTTGAAAGCTGTGCTTGGTTAACACGCGTCTTATTAGTTTCATTAATAATTTAACGATTTTTTGATCCATTGATTTTTCAGCTTTAATACGTCCTCGTATTGTAATTATTGACAGTGTTTGCGTGATGTTGACGTTCTTGTACATCTATATCTACATTTATTAGTCTTGCAAAGGGGGGCCATCAAGCAAAACATAAAATAAGAATAATAATTAACAAAATGAGATAAAAAATGTAAAATTAAATGATATATATATATACATATGTTAAAGGTTAAATTCCCCTAATTGCATCTTTAAAATTAATTAATTTATCATTTCCTGAAACACTATTTGGTAAGGAGTTCCAGTCTTTGATTGATTGTTCTACAATAAAATGAATTCTTATACGTTTCGGTGTTCGGTTTTATTTCTATGATATCATCTCAATTGTAACGATCGAAAAGCCGGTAAAGAATTCAGCGACGTGTGAAAAACCCTACAAAGTATAAAGTAACATTTATTAAAGAACATTCAAACAACGAAACAGAACAGTTGTACGCGGCGGTGATATTTTTTGGGGCAATGAGAGAGAGGCTGACAGGAGTTGTTTCCTTTGGCCAGTCAAAACAATTTGTATTTCTTTTTATAACCTATTTTCTTTTTGTTTCAGTGCAATTCTTGTCTGAAGCATTTCTGCTCCAAGTGTCAAGTCCAATGAAACGAGAATATAACCAAGAGCGGAAAATGCGACCAGTGTGACGAGAAAATACTTCGTCCCTTACAAGAAATTTGTCGCAGCCACATACGCCATGCCATCAGAGGTGCTATTGTAACAAGCAAATCGCCTGTTACCTCGCTGCAGTCAAAGGACATTGACCACAACGTTCAACAGCTTCCTCTCCCGGGAACTGTGAAGAACTTTGTGTGCTACAAATAATTTGACTGACCCTCCCTAACCATTTGAAAATAATATAGGGTCGGTTGGAACTATCAAAAAGAGAGTTAACAACAGTGTTGCTCTTGTATCAGACAGGAAGCGATCAACTTAAAGGATCTCTTTGAATTCATTATTAGTAAAAAAAATATTTTGTAGAAAAAAAGAAGGTTAACTGTGTAAATAAATCTAATATTAATTAAGAAGAATAATGAGTAAAGTGTTTCACAGATACTTGATAAATGGAAATGTAACAGGACTGAACTGGTAGAGAAAGATAGTCATTTGTGTTGAGAAAACTAAAAAGTTCTATGGGAGAGATTGAAATCTTAGTTAAAAAGAAGTGTATAGAATTTTAAAGTATTAAATAATATTAGATTCTGCAAAGCATGTTATGTTCTTCTAGTGCTGCTATGGCTCTCTATTACGTGGAAGAGAAATAAAATAATATGCTAACTCTGTGGTACTAGGTGACAAAGACAAATTGTAAATCATGTGATGGAATACTTGGATTTCTTTTATCACAACTGGTTGTATGTAAACGTCACAATTGAAAATAAAAGGAGTTGTAACAAGTTTGATGTATGCACAAAACAAAGTAAATAAAACTTTTTTTTTATTTATAGTGAGATTCAAATATGTAAAATTTCCTAAGGCTTTCCTTTGCAATTCTGTTTCTAGGGCAGAGAAAAAAAGGCAAAGATTTTGTACATTTGAACAGTGAAATAGTGGAGAGAAGAATATTTGTCCTAACCCTTTGATTCCTTAGATTGACCAGCATCTAACTTCTCTTCACAATTTAACCCCTGAATCACACATTAAGGTCAGGAGAATAAAGGAAATGATCGCTAACTAAAGAAGCTCTTGATTGTTACACAAATTCTCCTTGTCAGCACCTTAGGAAATGTATAGAGAACAGTATGGAGAATATGCATACTAATTTTAGGGTGTAATGAGAGAAATTGAAAATCTTAAATTCAAGGGCAAGGTAAGCTTTCAAACATTGACACAGTCTAACCGAAGTCAATCTAGTCTGAATTTTGTTTTTTCATTCTAATGATTTGTTACTTGTTTTCTTTAAGTAAAAAAAAAAAAGAGAGAATACAATAATGTTGGCATTTATTTAATTTCATCAAAAGAAGTTTTTATAACAGGCAATTTCAGTGACTTAATATTCTTAATCATAATTCTTATTTTAGAAAAAATATCCTTTAAAACAATGACTAATTATCAAAATAAGCATATTATTATTTAAGGCTTAAGTTACATATTACTAATTTTGTTTTTCCTTTTCTTATTGAAATACTGTCTCCAGATCTCATACATAAAATTTAAAAAATGGCTGTATTACCATTTAATATTTAATTACAACCAAGCCTACAATTACCAAAAATTACTGCAGCAATGAAATTTTTGGAAAATTCTAATTCTTTAAAAATTGTCCTAACTCCTCATGGAAATCAATGTAAAAACTACATTTTTTCTGCATGAATCCTATCTATTCTTCTTGCAATAATCTATCAATTTCTGGCTATCTAAATTTTTGACTTTATACAAGGAAATTTAATATTTATCAGTGGCGGATCCAGGGGGGAGGGTCTGGGGGGTACGGACCCCCCCAACAGACCTGACGCTTACAACTTTGAAACTGAAATTCTTACATGGAGAGGATCGTATATCACTTTTTAACTGGCTGATCTTTTTAATGAATCCAGGTAAACGGTACTGAAGCAGCCAAGGAATTATAATGTGCGACCACGACTGGTAGGAGGGTGTGTGGAGGAGAAGTAATTTGCCTCAAAAGTCCAACAGTCCTTTCTGAACCAAAGTTCAAAAATTACTGGATCCACCCCTGTTTATTACATCTGTAATCCACGTCTTTCATTCATTAATTTCATTTTTTTTCATTCATTCATTCATTCATTCATTCATTCACTCATCCATTCAAAACATAACAAAATAATAACTACTTTTCCCCCATAAAAGAACATTTATGGTACAGAAGGTAAGAAATATTTTCTAAATTATCTTAAATTAAATCCTTGAATTTCTTCTAAATTTACATCCAGAAAATATTACTTTTAGTTTGTGCCAAGGTTTTCCAGACAATGCTCCATATATTCATGGGTTAGATTGTATCTTGTTATCATTCCCACAAGCTGAAAAATGAAAATATTACGTAAAAATTTACTATTAATACACACAGACCCAAAATCTGTCCAGAAGGTAGCTTAAGGACAATCCAGTTAGAGTCATTGGGTTTGCCACTATCAATGCTGTGATAGTTTGTAGTTATTGAACACATCAATCAAGCATAACATGTTTCCTCTCATGAATACAATTCTAGTCTATACAGGGCACTCCACTGCATATTCAACCCATTCAAAGTGAAACTCACAAAACCATTTAAACAAAACACCTCAATATATTTTGGAAATGTTCTTCATGTTGAAACAACCTCCCATTGAAGATTGGAGAAATCAGGAAAATTGGAGAAACTTTTTGGTTCGCACATGAGCAAGCCAAAAAGTTATAACCTCTGTCAATAACAGACTAGCCATCTCTTCTCAGATTGGCTCCTTCTTGGTACGATAACATTCAGATATTCACTCTTGACCCCTTCACCCCCAATATCTCACTGATAATTCTCCTTGTTGTCTGCCAAACAACTCTTCCATGATGTTACTTTGGACAATTTGGTATTGGATCAACTTATAATCCCCTGATGTATGACTTTCTTTATTCTCATCACTTCTCTGCTTTATATCATGTGGATGTGGAAAGGAGAAATTTTATCTTGGTCACTTATGAGAGCTTGAGTTAAGAGAGTTTTACAGTAGGCCTGTGCATCACAAGAGAATGAGCTCACACCCAAACTACAGTCCAGCATAGACACTAGCTACCAGCTGCCTTTAAACATGAGGTCTTGCCCAAACTGCAGTTTTATGCAAGCAGTGGGCCTTAGGTATTCACTATATATATATATAGAAGGGTTCATTTAATGAAATAAATGTCCTTCCACAGTTAGCTTTCAGCCCTTTAGACACTGTCAACATATATAAATGTTCAGATGAAAGGTTTGGCCATATTGAGGATTATACTTTAGGATGTGGTTTTGTTACACAAGGGTTAAACTTTGTTTAAATAATCAGACCTACATGACTTTGTGCACAGTTTATCCCTGCACAAGACTTACCTGCCCTTTAGTGTTCACCACAATCAGATGCTGCAAACCCATTGTCCTAAATAGATTGAAGACCAGTGGCACAGGGGTCCATGGAAACACCATATATGGGCAAGGGTTCATGTAAGGGGTTACAACCTGAAAGAAACAAAATGGTGCCAAGAAAACAGGAATGATGTAACACTTTTAGCTTATTAATTACCAATTTCATGCCAGGTTTTAACTATCAATTCTCTACAATTTTTCCATACATCACTTTGAGTTCTGAGACATTGGTGTTAAAGTAAACTATTTTCCATGGATGATGTTCTTCTTCCTTCTCATAACCTTTCTACTTCAAAATGTGTCAAAACAGTAATAAGAAATTCCCTTTTTAT